TGTCTCTCTCTCTGTTGAGGAATGGGTGACAGGGCGACATCATGCAGTGCGTAACGTATTTTCTTTCCCTGCCCTGTCAGACTCTAAAGGCTCGACGGGCACCAACTCTGCCGCTGAGGCAGCAAAGATCCTGGCGGAGAACCGGAGATTAATGCGGGAGCAGAAAGAGAAGGAGGAGCAGCTCCGGTTACAGAGGGAGGAAGAGGAGAAGTAAGATTATTGGGATTATTCTCTTAATTCTCTCACTTTCCCCCCTCTGTTTATTGTGAGTATTCTTACTAACTGCTGTCTCTGCCGTACCAGGGTGAGAAAGGAAGAGGAGATGCGCTTAGCGGAGGAGGCTCGCCTGATACGCCTGGAGGAGGAGAAGAAGCTTGCGGAGGAGAAGAAAATCCGAGACGAGGAAGATGCTCTTCTAGCTGAGGAGGAGCGGGTGAAAATGGCCGAAGAGGAGGTGGTGAAACAGGCCGAGCTGCAGAAGGAGCGGGAGGAGGCCGAGGCCAAGGCTCTGGAGGAGGCCGAGAAGGTCCGTCAGGAGAGAGAGCGCGTCATGCAGCAGAACCAGCAGGAGCGCATGGAGAGGAAGAAGGTATGGAGACACCAAGGAGCCCTAGCCTCAGTGACTGCCACATCTCTCTGTTTACATGTCATGACATTATTTACCAGCTTGGTGTCTTCATGACAACATCTCTTCTTCCTTTTATACATATAACCTTTTCAACCATTTCAGAGAATTGAAGAGATCATGAAAAGAACCAGAAAGGGGGAGCAGAGCGAAAAGGTGAGCTCACATTCACTCAGCCAGCAGAGAATCCTTTACTCTGAGTGTACGCCAACACGTCTTTGTGTCTCCTCCATAGGGTGAGGCAGGAGAGGATGATGAGGATGAGGAGGATGATGAGGATGACAAACAGGAGGATGAAGATGACGATGAAGAGGACCAGATAAACTGTGAAACTCAGAGTAAGTGGTCAGGCGTCCACACTGGTTACAGTTTCAGGATCACTGTATGTATCACTGCCTTTCTGAATGTGGTACCTCACCACTGAGAGTGAAGGCGTGTCTTCCCCTCTTTGGGTTAGTTTGCAGACACTTTACATAAAAGGCCCATTCGTGGGAATTTACATAAAACTCAACTTATGACTCATCTAAACCAAATCTGTTCCTCTATTTACATGGTAGGCCAGGAAGAGGACAAAGCTGAGTGCGATCTGTCCTCCGGTGAGCCGGAGGCGGAGCGAGAGGCGCCGCCGGGCAGCGTGAACGGGAAAGCAGAGACTGACGACAAGGAGAATAACAACGGCATGAGCACAGAGGAGACTCAGGCAGTGAGGTATGACCAGAGACAAGACAATGAAATAATGAGACCCTCCCAGAAAGCGCTCTAGTGTATTGTAATCTCAAATAAAGAACAGAAGGGGCTCAATTAATTGATTTTGTTTAAATACTACAGTGGATATTAAAACGTCAGACCCATTGATCACTATGATAGGATAGCGTGAACATATCAGAATTGGTATATCTCAATAAGCTTTGTCAAAATAGCCACAACAGCAGGCCGATCCGCTCGTGACAGCCTTGCCAGCTCTTTGTATTATCCAAAATCATATGAATCTAGGCGGATGCACGCTGGTTGGTTTAATAGAAGTTCAGTGGAATATGATTTTGTCCGATTGACTAGACAATTATTCCAGCCCTATCTTTTATTCGACTGGATTTCTTTCTGCTAACTCAAAGCTGAGCTGCTGTGATAAATCTCATGAACCTTCTGAAACTCTTTTCTCTCCTCTCCAGTCCCGTTCCTAAGGGCCGCCTGGTGGAGGGCTCGGAGTTCCTGAATGAGCAGGACTCCGCCAAGGTGGGCTTAGTCTCAGGTCTGAACGGTAAATCCAACCAGTGGAGCTTCGAGGAGCTCAACGACCTCAACGTCCACTCCAAGACTCGGCCCCTGATCCAGGCGGAGGACTGTAAGCAGGTCCTGATCAGCTGTGACGGGAGCTCGGACGGGACCAGGGTGGCCTTCGAGGACAAGGGGACCCCCGCCAACCCCCTGCATTCCTCTAACCAACCAATAGAAGCCCTGTCAGGTGAGGAGTCACGCACACCTGTTGGGAGTGTTCACTCTTTGATGAACTCTTCCTAAAGTAATCACTTCCTCCCGTGTCTCTGCAGAGATGTGATGCTGCAGCCATCGCTAAGACGCCTCTCTCTGTTGCACTCGTAAAGTTCCTGTCCAGCTGAGCTCCTTCAAAAAAAAAAGTTCCACACGGCTTCCTCCTCTCTCTCTCCTCCTCCTCCTCTTCCAGAGCGAGGAGCACAAGGAGAAGCGGAAAGACCACCCCAAGTGCTACATTTTCACCCCACATTATGAGGAAACAAATATATTCAAATGATATATATATATATATTAAAAGAAAACAACGTTATGCTTCAGGGAAATTCCATATATTCCTTCAACGTGCTCGCTTCAGGTCTCTTTCCTCTTCCTCTTGTGTTTAGTTCTCAAAGGTTTTTTTTTCTTTTTCTATGTTGTGTCTAAATTTGATGAAGTTTTTTTTAAGAGTTTTGTCTTTGTCAGGGGTGCATTTGTTGTAATTTATTAATTTTGGCTTTGTTGTTATTGTAATTATTACCTATGTTTAGTCTTGTTGTTCTTTTCTCTTGTGTGAGAATATTCCAGGACACATGCACACTCGGCTGCGTGAACTGAACAGAGTGACTTAAAGGAGGAAAGGTTCAAACATTCTGTTCTGTCGGGGGTTTGGTGAGGAAAGCGTCCCAGGTGTGATTCGTCTAAATTTACTTGACCGGCTGCTCTTTGCAGGATCCAATATGGCCTTAATATTTCCTCAACTACAAATTTTGAATTGTGAATATACTAAATTGCTTGCGCTGAAGCTCATTCATGCACAGTTAACTCTGTCATGTGCTTACACTTGAAAGTAGACCCTGTATTCATACTTCATTTTGCCCCATTGTCCTGTCTCTGGGTGTGTTTCCTTATTTGGCCACTAGGCGGCGCCTGGAGCTCCATCTGTTACATTTGAAGCTGAATAGTGTTGAGGTTCACTCACAGCACTGTATGAATTAGTTTGTTCAGTGAAGTTTCTGCAGTTTGTTTCTCATTTAGGGTTCGTTAAGGTTTTGTTAATTTTTACATATGTACATAGAAGTTATGTTTACGAGCGACATCATTGTAATTTACATCAGATATGAGTTGCATCACATTTTAGTCTCATCTCCTGCTTGAATACCCATAACTGCAACATACGATCTTAGCAGTGGAAGTCCATTAGTTTCATTCATGGCTACCTCTGAGCTTCTTCAGGTGGTTTGTGTTCGTTACTGAATTGAACCTTGAATATTTGTCTGAAACTACAAATCAGGTTTTCAATGATCTGGTTCTAACATGAGCTTTTCCAACACATCCACCCATGGTGAGGCTTCTTCACCATTTACATGTATTTCTCCTTTTTCAACCAACTTTTTGAAATTCCCAAAACACCAGCTGCTACATCTGACACAATGCATTTCAATTATTTTTTATAATATCATTTGGCCACTTGTTTATATATAAAAATACATTTCTACATATATTTAAGTGTTATTGTGTTGTGTATATAATCAGTATTAGGCAGATGAAGCCATGTGTAGGATGAGGTGGCGTCGGGATGTGGATAATTGAAGTCTCTGTGTGCTTTACGTTTCTGTTGGACTCGTGCCCTGTGACGGGATGTCAGTTTACGTTTGGGCAGCCTGGATAAACTTACACAAAGCCCGCTTCCACATGAGCTCTGGAAAAAAACAAGGGGCCAAGTAGGGACCCACTATATTTTCCTTAAAATCTAGCGTTTGTTTATGTTTGTCTGTTTTAGCGCTTTAAGCCCCAACTCTGATTCTGAACTTTGCTTCACGGAGACTAAACACATTTCGATGGTCAGTTGTTACAGCCCTCAGCAGCATGTCTGACCCAGGATCAGTTGTGGCCCGGCCTCTTCTTGATACTTTTAATGTCATCTCAATGTGTTTTATAAGATGTTAAAGGACGTGGGGATGGATAGTTCTAGTGTAGGCATATCAGCTCAGGTTAACTAATCCTTGTAGTAGCAGGCAGAACATGACGTGGGTCAGACATGTTTTCTGTCTCTTCTGGATTGTTCATGAACTGTAATGAAATCTTGAAAGTCCCTATGCTTGAACAGTCCAAGCACGAGGTTTAGAGGACCTTTTATTGTTGCCTTGTTCTCTGCTGGCTAACTAAAATCTCTGTACATAAGGACTAGGGGCTTTAGATCAATACGCTCAAAGAATGTAACTGACTCCATAAACCGTCCTTCATCATTTACCATGTCTCAGCGCTTTTTGGCTCTCATCTATTACTCATTTAAAAAAACACGAGACTGCACTGTCACAAATGACTGGCTATGTTTAGAGAATGGTAACTGAGGAGTAGCTTTACTGTACAGACTCGTAGGAGCGTGATATTCTGGAAGAAAAGAGAACGTCATTTGTGGATTCCCAGATGTTTTAGAAGTCTCATCCCCAAACCTTTCCCCTCTAGTCCCGTGTAGCATCTGTCGGGGGGGGGGGCTGTTGCAGCTGCTTCTTAAACACATATTTTGTCTACTCCAGGTCCTGCTGCATCTCTGAGGGCTCGAGTACAGAGCCGACTGCTTTAAGTCCTCAACGTTTTCTTTAACAATAGGATAGAACGGTGCCTTAGATTGAGATTTAGTATTTTTATTGTATCACAGTTAACTAAGAAAGCTTGTCCTTACCTCGGCCTCGACAATCAGTCTCCCCACCCAGGGCGACTTTGTGAATATGAATATTTCTCTGAAAGATTTACTAACAAAGCCCTGTCCAAGTAAGATTTGTACTGTAAATAGATCTAAAAGTGTACTGAGATGATACAAACTGTTAAAACAAATAAAGTCGTGCAAAAATATTCCGTTGCCATGTTTTTTTACGTCTTTCTGTAGAGAAATAAGAGACTTCACATCATTCTTTCCTTTTATTATTGTTTAACATTTAACATTTCAGTCAAAGTCTTGAATACACAAGCTGTTTATATTTCAGCATAAAAGTCAAAGACCTCATTTTGGATTTGGGTTCTTCTGATAATCCATTGGAAGATACATGTAACAGATTAGTAATCAAAGCTATATGTATGAGCAGTGGTATGCATGTCAAAGCATATTATTCTCTCTGAAATATTCCAGTAAAGCAGTGAAAAAGCTTTTGTCTCATAAAACTACACAGAATCCCGGATTAGATTAGACTAATAGTGCACATCACAATCCCACAAAAGAAACTCTGTTGCCATGTTAGTATCCAACACTGAAACAAGTTGCATAATGTATGAGTAGATAAATGACTCAAGCTAGTGCATAATTAGTTGAAATAACCTTTATCGTCTGCCAACCTCACAAAGAGAAGTTTCACCAATTTGACATTTGTTTGCTAAATCACAAACAGAATAACATTTATGTTCATTTGAGGCCGTAATAGCCTGTCAACAAAAAGGTTATATTTCTGCAAATTAACAGTCTAAATGTCAGTGTTGGCGCAACTCCACTTAAAACACGATCCTCTGTGCAGCTCACACCTTCTTGGCACAGTCGGGGCAGTGGATGTGCTCTCCGTTGATCACAAAGCGCTTGTTGGCCAGCGAGAGGCAGCACTTCTTGCAGTTGAAGCAGTACTCGTGCCAAGAGAATCCCTCATAGTTCACCACGTTGGTGCCGTGGCCGAACCCTGCGGAGGACAGCCGTCAGTCAGCAGTGTGAGACAGGTAACCATGCTTCACACACAGATCTCTTTAAAACATTCCTATCATTTGAAATAAGGTACAGCTTGGGCTTAGGTAATGAGAACATTGAGTTTTTCTGAAATTAATTTGGATGGTGTTACTGTCTGCTGCATTTGACTTGTATAGGAATAATTCAGAATGACCAGTATGATGGCTGGCATCATTTATCTTAAAGGCTAAACTGGGCTAAATAAATAATATACCAGAGTTTAAAGGAGCAGAAAAAATGGATTAAAGGGGAAATACTATTTATTTATTCAGCTGGTCTGTAACACCTCCAATTTTTCAGAACCATTCATGTAATGTTTGTACTTATAAGAAAGACATTTGAATATCTCTTTATTTAACCAAGTAAATATTGAATAATTAGCATATTATTATTATTTCAATATAAATAATATTTGGGCTTTGGAGCTGATCCACCTAAATATGTCTTATGGCCAGTGGGTTGTAATCTGTCAGAGGCCATTATAGTTGTACAGAAAGAAAGTAAAATGCACTACAAAATGATTTCCCAAAATGCATTAATTCTAATAAAAACATCTGCTCATGCTTCCCTGACCTGTGATTGGGTTTTTGCATCCATGGCACTTCTTGGCCACATCAGTCTTGAAACAGTCCACGCAGTAGACGTCATTCTCGTGGGAAGTGAAGCGAGCTCCAGACAGACCTTTGTGGCAGGTTTTGCACACGAAACACTCCGAGTGCCAGGGCTGGTCCTGGTAGCTGATCCCTCCAGAGGTGATGGGCTGAGAGAGGGAGAGAGAGAGAGAGGAACATCTTAAACACTACAGAGGTGGAAAATCATTCCCGCTGCTGAAAGTGAACGGTCTGCACCACAGTTTAATTGATATAGACTTGGCTCTATATGGATGAGATGATATGATATGTGGTTGTACCTGCTTGCAGTGGAAACACTTCTTGGCAAACTTCTTGTCGTGGCAGGGAGCGCAGTAGATGTCTTCCCCTTTGGTCAGGAAGCTCTGCGTGCGGATGGGCTGCTTGCATTCAAAGCAGGTGAAGCATTCCTCGTGCCACATCTTGTTCTTGTACTCCACATTCTGGGATCCTGAGACACAGAGATAAAAAAGCATTGTTATGGTTTAAAAGTTAAAAAACAGTCCACTCTGTCTGACAGTGGAGCGGATTCTTTGGGATCTAGATCGAGTTTAAAAGCAGGTTAAATCCTTGGTAAGAAAGTGTTGCACACATTTAATAAGCCTTTTCATTAAATGTTTTTTCAAATGTTCCTTATCTCTCTGTTATATGAAATAGTTGTTACTAGAGAAAATCACCTTTATGTATTATTTATAAAGAACATACTCATACATCGACTTCATCAGTGTTGTGCAGAAGTGTTTCAATCAGGTACAAATGAAAGTGTTGGGCAACCTAAACAACAATTATCATAATGTTTTATTCAAACATCCTGATCATCACATTTTCCAACCGTGCCCGACCCATTTCAAACCGGAAAGAAAAGCACAGATACAAACTACACAAATACAAAAGTGTCTCTAGCAAAACGACAAAACGGTTCTCACTTAGCTCATTTGACAACCACATATTTTATAGTCGAACAAATTGAGGGAAATTCGTTTTTAAAGTAAGAAAAGTGAACCCACCGGGCAGGACCACCTTGTAGCAGGCCTGGCACCGGTTGCCATCCTCCCGGGAGCCACACTTGCCGCACATTATCTTGCCATCGTCCCGGGCGTTGAACGGCTCGCTGGCCAGCGGCTTGTAGCACTTGACACAGCGGAAACAGTCCTCATGCCAGTGACGGTTCTTATGGTGCAGCTCCTGAAACACAGAGGATGTTAGCAGAGGTCTCTCACCTTGTCCTCATGCAGACCTCATTCAAGTTTCATCATGGAGAGTGAGGCTCAGGGCAGATTACAGAACGAGCCAATGAGACATACGTGAGCCAAGAAGGAGTTAGGAGATTTAGATGCTAGAAATTCAATATAAATAATTTAAACCTTACTAGTGGTATATTTTTCACACATTCAGCTGCCTGTGACTGAGTGGTGAGTTTAATTTGGAAGCAGCCTCCACTACTGAATGACGGACACGTTTTATTAGAGTTTGAGACTGGATGCTCTCTGAACAGACAGATATATCACCCCTTTTTTATGTTTTTGTATTCATGCAATAACATTCATAGTAGACACCTAAAAAATTCAGGGTGGATATTACTTTTTCACAGAAGACATTTTAAAATGTTACGGTAGAAAAGGCAAAAAATGTGAAAAAAATCTATGATGCCTGAATTCTGTTGAAAGGACCTATGAGCAGACAGCAAATCAACTCAATTGATCTAGGCCAACATCTCAGTTTCAGATGTTTTTTTAATCTATAAAAGCTGAAAACATTATCTGAAACTAGTAGAAAACGATTTTAGAAAATGATTTGTGATAAGTAAAAATACTGATGAGAAACTAAAAATACAAGTGTATATGATATTGTACAAATACGGAAATTGTAGCTAATTTATAATGGGCTGCATTATCAAATATGTAAAATTAGTTTTGTTAAAACAATTTTTTTTTAAATGTGTCCAATTCTGTTTATTATATTTAAAAGACATATGTCTGAACAAAACACTGCAGCCATTTTCTGTTTATTTAAATGTTTTGATTGTATCTTCTCTTTTACTCATTAATTATTTCTCTGTCACTCAGACACTGTGTTTTCACCTTGGAGTCAGCGCCGATGGGGCGTTTGCACTCCGCACAGGTGTTGGCGCAGAGCTTATCGAAGCACTTGGTGCACACGTGCTTTTCGTCCTTCTTCACATATTTCTTCCCGTGCAGGTTGTCCCGGCAGTAGTAGCAGTCAAAGCGATCAGTCATGGTGGAGGTGAGATAACTCCTGGGACCTCCTGAAAACACGAGACATTATCAGACTCTAAACATCCCTACGTGGCAGAAAGTCACCAGATGGGGACACTGTTGCCTTTTCTATCATCCTCGTGACTCTGAAAAAATGCAATTAATACATTTATTTATATACAACTTACAACAATAGTTGATTAAAAGGGCTTTACAGAAATAAATAACAACAGAACATGAATCAGCATTTAATGACTAAAGCAGCAAACTCACGCCCCAGTCTGTTACTGTAAATCTGACCTCGAAATGCAAAACAAATCTATGCATAACTTGGACAAAATACATTTCACATGTGTCTCCTTGAACATTTAAAAGACACATGGAGTTTTTACAGAAGCATTCCAGACTGATGAGAGAAGTGAGAGTGATGTTAGAAAATGCAGCTCACAGATGGCTGCGTGCTTTCCAGCCTGCAAACTTTTTATCAAGCTCTCACTGAAAGGCTTAAGTCATATTTTTAGATGGTCTGGCTCATTCCATTTCCCTCCCAATCTCATACCCCCACTTCACTTTGGGCTGTATTTTGTCCAGGTCATTATATAAGCTTTCAGTGTAAACACCATGTTGTTTCTTCATTTATCAACATTCCTGTATTCCCATCACAGCCGGCGTCCCCTGAGAGCAGACTGAGTGGTTTCCTGAAAAAACGGTGCGTAATGTGGAGTGTGTGGAAGCTGTATCAGAGAGAGCAGTGTGTGACCTTTAAATTGATTTATATCATGTTAATCCAGGAAACACAAATGGAGGAAACAATGGGAGGAATGGCATTTTTTGTTTTAGTAACCATAGGAACAAGGACAATATTTATGAAAAGCGTCTGCAGCTAAGTGGGACGTGGTAAACAGCCGTGTGAAGGAGAGGAGCCTCCTGCAGTGAGGTATGTGCCCCTGGTGTGTGTGGATTGAGAGATGAAAGAGGGGTCTCTATCTGCAGCTGTGCTCCAGGGATAAAGACCGGACTGAGCCCCTCACTCTGCCCACACTCACCTACTGGTGGCATCTCATGGCACTAAAGCAGTCAAACACTGTTGAATCACACACACAATGCTGGGGTCTCATTACTGAGCCAAGCCAGACCTATTTTGGAACGGGACCCTCTATTTACAGCGCTTTAACCTTCCAGAGGGGACACGTCCAGTAATCTTTTGTTACAAACAGTGTGACAGCTGCCCCCTGTCAAACAGCCATGGTATGTTCCGACCCTCAGCCGCGGAGGGGAGCGGAGTGAACCACTGCGGTCCCTTTGGAGAGCAGGAAAGGTCAATGTGAGACCAGATTGAGGGGTGAGTCAGCGTGTTGGGAGATGATCAGAGGCAGGGGTGACCCAGACACGATCAACGATCAGCCAAATCAAAAGCTACACTGTCAAAATGTTCTGTTCTCTCTTGACTCCTTCTTATCAGGTCATTTTATAATATATAGCTTTCATAATGCTTTGGAGATTTACAAAATCACTGTCACTGTAAAACAAAACAATGCAAACTCTGGAACAGCCTGTTCTCCAACATACATCAATACATTAATGAAATGGAAGAGAGCTCCATATGTAAAAACACAGATTTCTACAACATGATAAAACCACCATAAAACAAAAAACTCGTTAAAAAAAATGTAATCATAAACCCATGAGATCACATCTAAAAAAACACACAATGTGGTTTAATTTTGGATAAGGAAATACTTAAACAGTTCTCTCCAACAAGGAAACACAAGTTTGAGATTTTAGATTTGGACATTCGAATGTTAGCTGTTAGTTTTGCTGCAAGATGTTGTTTGAACATGCCACACATCAACAAGAGATGGACCTTTAAACTTAGATCATATTGTTTAAGATTGTTACACATTTCAATGAGTCCTGTATTGCATAAGGACATCATAAACACACAATCCTCAAATCCTTATCTCGTGACAAGTCTTCAAATTAGTTGATTTAAAAAAAAAAAAAAAATTGAAGGATTATGTTTTTTTTATTGGTAGATAGATTATTTATTTCTCAGGTTGACTAAAACATTTAATGTCCACTGTCACTAATCTGAAAACAAGGCTATTTTTCTTTTATGAAGTTATAAAAAATGGTTGTTATACAAGACAGTTATCTTGTGCAATATCATGTTAAAAAAGCTTTTACAGGTTCAGTTTGAGTCTTGGGCAATTTTTCACAAGCTTCACAGGGAAAACAACGCCAATAACAGCATGTTTTTTTGGTTTTGCACCTGATTACTGATAACATATTAAATAACTTAATGTATCATCCACAGTTTGCACCAGCCATTTTTATGTTAAGTTACCTGAGTGTCTGTAAGCCATGATGCCGGTCAGGAGGAGGAGAAGAAGAAGAAATGAAAAGAGACTACAGGAGGAGACGGTAGCATCCACAGAGGGTCACTCGCAGAGACCACAGCCTGGTTCAGTTATGGGGAGCTGTATATACCCCTCTGTGACCCACACACACCCCTGAGATCACGTCCAAATCCAACCCTAACCCTTAACCCACACTCCTTTTTAGGGTATGGATTAGAGAATAGGGCGGACGAGGGACAGTATGAGGGGATAGAGACTGGAATCCACTGCTGTAACATCAGACGATGCAAAATAAAAAAGGGGTTTGAATGATGGCCCTGAGGGATCACAGATACTCCCACTGCCCCGACATAAAAAGTTTTGTTAGAGTGCTCAGGACATGTACAGATGACATGCTGGATCACTTAACATCATAACTTAAAGGGATGACTCACAGGAGCGAGATGATATGACTGAGCTGAGGAGAGACAAAGAGTGCCATATGAGTATGTCTTCTTATCTTCTCTCATATATAAGTTATTCGTTTAGTATCCAGCGCTTGAACCAACCCTTTTTAATACATTTGATCTGAGTAAGTTAGTAGGAAAAGAAGAAGAAATAAAAAAGGAAATACAGGAGGAGATGGTAGCATCCAGAGGGTCAAACCCAGAGACCACGGCCTTGTTGAGAAAGAGTTTGTTCAAAACTAAACTGCAAAGTGAGGCGAAGTAGAATATCTTAGAATAGAGATGAATAAATACTGCCAGTGATTTCTTTCCTGTTTATCTTTTTGTGATTCTTGTTCCAAAAGGGAAGATTTATTTGAAAGCTGCAGGAAACACTGGTTGCATTCCTGATCTCCTCTCTCAAAATGAATGCTCTCACTGAAGACATTCTTCCTCATCCAGAAGAAGAAGAAGAAGAAGAAGAAGAAGAAGAAGAAGAAGAAGAAGAAGAAGAAGAAGAAGAAGAAGAAGAAGAAGAAGAAGAAGAAGATCAAAGAAGAAGAAAAGCTAAGCAAGAAGAAACGAAAGAATGACTAATACCTCATCTCTATTAGTATCTAATAAGAATAGGCTAATAAGAAGAAATAATTAAAACCTTTTTCATCTTTTAAACTCTTCATCTTTTAAACTTCAAAAATAATGTGATTTGCATTTTGATTGCATGTAAACCGGTAATCACTTGTTACTAGGCCAATTGGGCAGCAGAAACAAGTGCAAATTGTTTGATAACTTATTTACTCAAGCAGTGGATACAAAGCTTTGTAAGATTCATTCAAAGGTGTGTTCTGGTTGTTTGACATCCAATAATCACTCCTTTGAGCTCTGTGTTTGGTCTCGACCAACTCCTGAGGAAAGTATCTCGCTCTCTAGCAGAGCAGCTGAGAGCCTCAGTATGTTATCCAGCTGGTCTGTAACTGTCAGTCTGCTGTTCGGTGCCGAGCAGGCTGTGGACTGTGAGTTCTACAGATGGTCTGTAGTGTGAGAGTGAACCAACACCGTACATTTGTGGGCTGGAAAACCAAAACAAATGAGCTGAATATAGCAACAACAAATCCCTGCGGGAACTGGGTGTTCACTTTCTGTAGGGTCATCAACACCTTTAACATTACAAGTAGTCATGGATTTGTATCTAACTACTGATTATAGCTGCTTCACGTAAGTATTACCATTTGTATCACTGCCAACCCACTATTCTGATATAACCCATCATCATCTTTTCTGCTTCGAGCAGATGCTCCACAGATGGCACTTTACTCTGATTGGTTTGGGCCCTCAGAGTCAGACGAGCTTAAATACAGAAATGTTGGATCATGATGGGAATGAGAGGAGACTGAGAGCCACCAGAGACCAGAGTAACTCTTAACTATATCAAATAAACTTCTTCATGTATCAGATACAAAACCAATCAATGCAGTCTGCGTGACTGTGTGCTTGGCCTTACAAAGGGCATCTGGTTGTAATTACATTATATTTGATGTGGTCCATTACCATGGAGCCCAGCATGGCGTTTGTCCTTTTCTAATCTGTCACCCAATTACTCTAAAGCCATAAAGACTAATTAATGAGCAGGAAGGCGCCAAGACTCCCGGCCTACCAAACCTCTTCCAGTAGTGGGTCGGCTCTCTGATACAGCAGGACATCTGTTCCTCCTCCTCTAATGTTTCACACTCCTGTTATTTTCTTAATCCCCAACTAGACACTTTGTCTGTTCTTTCCCTTCATTTCACATCTCTCAGTCATGGCATCATGCATTTCTCTCGGATTATGTAATTTAAGGAGAAAGTGTAGATCTTACTTCTATATATTATTGAGCAACAGTATTCAAAAAAAGAAAGCACAATTAGCGTTAGCCGGATGTGAATAAAGAAGAAGAAAGAAAGTTTGTGAACTTTGTGAGCACAGTTTATAACTCAAAAATACAAGAAAAATACATATTACATATTTGGTATGAACATATTGTGTAATGCTTCAATGGCAAGTTATTTTGGAAGTAGGATAATGTGAGGGGACACACATTACTGTACCACATCGGCAGTATAAATATAATGTATTATAACCATCACATTTGGAAAATTGAGCACAATCAAATGAATCTGTCTTGGTCAAGTTTTCTCATTCTGCATTCAATTGCCATTTTAATAATCAAGAAACACGTTTAAAATAAAGTCCAACGTAGGACAAATGCATGTTTACCAGACTATCTATAGTAAACAACTGTTATTTAGATGCTGTTAGGAGAGCTTTTATGCTGAAGCACTGTCTATCTGTCTTCTTCCTGCTTTGAGTTTCCTGACAGCGCTCATATGAAGTGGTGTCAGTCTCATCTGCTAGCTGCTGTCCTGATATGACTGGATTGCAGAGCACAAATCTACTCCTGCCACCTCCAAAGCCTGCTTTTAATAGAGCGGGACTAACTGCTGATCCTGTGGGACAATAAATAAAACTATAAATATATTCTTTACAAATAGAAACATATAGCATGAAGGCGTAATCACTTTCTTTTTCACCAATGGAAACACTGCAATATGCTCGGAGCATATCATGAATGTTTTGCTTGGTGTTGCCTCTTGAGGTTGTAGTTGGCTGGTACAGAGAAACAGGACATCTGGCATGTACTTCCTCAACCATCAAGTGCAAATCGCTCAGTGTGATAGGAACTCAAGCCCACACTCTGTTCACTGTTACCAATGGCAACAAAAAGGTTGTATCTGAGAGCTCGTCTCTCAACATGACCTCTCGTCCCCGGACATCCATGAGTCTCAGTCATCCTCCAAATCTCAGTCATCCTGGTGCGCAGACAGAGCAGTGACAGAGCGAGCCACACTATCATTGTCAGGGAAACAGTGACTCACCCACACACGCTCACACACACACACGCGCACACACACACATGCGCACACACACACACACACACACACACACACACACACACACACACGACATCAAGCCAACAGAACAGACGCACACTCTCATTTGTCCAAACACACACAGCTGTACTACAACACACACAAAAGGGTCAGTGAGCGCAGCAGGCAAGGTGTTGGCTGCAGGACCCAGACAACATAGAGGGCAAATATGTGGTGGGACAAAAGGCCACAAGGGGGGCGCTATCACCACAGTAACACTCCTGTCTAGTGGGTAGGGCTAAGTGTTGCACACACACACACACACACACACAACACACACACACACACACACACACACACACACCCACACACACACACACACACACACACACACACACACACACACACACACACACACACACACACACACACACACACACACACACACACACACACACAAGCACTTTCAGATAAAGCCTTCACTGTAGGCCAGCAAGCACTTGAGCTCTCGTCTCACATGACCCGAGCCTCTAAACACAGTCAGTCCTTTCTGCTGATGTGAGGAGCAGCATTGTTAAGGAAGCTGTAGTAGTGACTTCCTTGAGGATACATATAAATCATCTGAAATCTTGTCTATCTCTATTTTGTAATTTCTGAGACATGTGATGTTCTGGCATCATGTTAATTTACATTTTAATATTGTATATGTAAATGTTCACAGAGACTATTGTTTTCCTCACACAAGCAGCTCTCAGTAGCTAATCCAAGCCGATTTCTGTTATCCCCTTAACTTAAGGGTACTTTTACTTTACAGGAGTTTATTTGAAGACTGTACTTTTATTTCAGAGGGAAATAATTGTTGCACTCTCTTTAGCGATCTGATCAAGCTATAATAACAGTTAGTTACTAAAAGCTTTGCAGAATAATTACCATATGATCAGCTTCTAAAATGTGATGAGTCTTCATGGATGTAAAACTTTTCTGGCAAATGAAATACTTCTTTATAAAATACTATAATATGAGTTTACTTTTGAAAAATGTGTTTGTTCAACAACAACAAAAAGGACACACTCTACTTTAATGCTACAATAAGAGGCTACTCTTTGAAGAATGAAGAAATATAGAAAGTAAACATTAACTGTGTTATTAATAAATTCTCATCTGCATGAAATCCTGAACACATTAGCTTCTTCTCTTCTGAAAATCGTGCAGTCTTTTCATTTCCTCTTATCGTGGCTTTTGCTCTCGCCTCTTGTCTTTCGTTCTGTTTTATTTGAAAGTAAGAATGTGCAATTCAGCTGAGGCTCGGAGCTGAAGAGAGGAGAGGAAGAGGAAAGCAGTGCAAGACAAGAAGTTCAACATCCACAAGAGAGAAGATTGCCTCCACTCAGCCAACACAGACAAACAAGCAGCATTGCCTATTTAGGAGTATTGCACTGGTCTGCTGAGAGCGCTGTTTCATGTGTCTCATCAACTCCATCATCTGCTCTCAGACACACCCTCTCTCTTTTCTCTTTCTGTATGTTTCTCTGCTCCATTTGAAGAATAAAAGTCATGGTGAAATAATTTGAAGGCACTAAAGCTCCAAGTGTGGAAAATGTCCTCTTGCTGAATTCTACATATGAATGAACAATCTGTCATGGTGCTGCTGGACTGTTTGTATGCTTATTTTATATCAGACATTTATAATTAAAAGACTTATTATATACAATTAGTAGTCCTAAAATTGATGTATAAACTGCTGCATAAAAATCCAAACCCAAAAGAAAAAGCAGTCTTTTGAAGTAGAATGTGTGTTAATTTATTACTTGGTGAAGTTCAAAGTTGTTATGGCTTTTGAAGGATGGTGAAGTCATACTTAAGCCACAAGGAGGTCCAGTGTGCCAGAGAAAAGGGAGCTAATCTCCAGGTCTCTTTAATGACATCATGCATTTGGTTTGGCAGCTGCTCAAAGCAGAAAGGGAGGAGACGGTAGCTGATTTAGGTTTTAACAGTTTCAAGCCACACATGATGGTGCCTTTGCGCTCTGCTGTTCATTATAGGGATGCCAGGAGTCCACTTACAGTATACATAACAACATGTGCATTAATAATATCACAACACACAATGTCCTCATTGAGCTGGAGTACATCATATTGTTACGGTTTACAAATAGACATTATGTTATGTATGAGGGAGAGGTAATGGAAGTAGTATTCAGACCCTTAATGTCTTAAATGTCATACATTCAAAACTTCTATCTAAACTATGTTATTGTACCATCATTCTCAATGTAGGCTACTGCTATGTAACCAATATCTTACTGTAGCTTTATGGGTTAGATGACATTTTTTAAAGTTTTGGTTGTAACAGTGCAACATTTTATGAAGTATTCATAGTTTTGTTTCCAGAACTTGCCATTTAAAAGCTGTTAAGAGTCAATGTAAAGGAGCATCATTA